GGTGGGGCGATGTCCCCGACGGAAAAAATGTGGGCGTGGTCGGGCGTCGCTTAAAATCTCCTGAAGTGTTCCATGGGGGCGAAGCTCCCGAAAAATTGACAATTTAGGGGTAATGGCTTATTTAATTGATTTGAGCGCCAACTAATAATGTAGAAAATACATATAGGACAACATTTGTTTTCTCCCCGATGTGGGCTCCTGGCTGGCGCCACCCCTGCATTCGACCGCTTATTGTGGAAATTAAGGCGCCGTCGTTCATCGCTGGTAGACATAGGGGTCTTTGCCTCTTTACAACAAAATAACGTCTGATATTGCTTACATAGATGAAATAGAATTCTAAAGATGTATTGTCCCTTGCTAATGTAAAAAAATCATCAAAAATAATTTTGAAAAAAACTTGCTCATATTGCACTAGCATACAAATTATTAAATTATTGAATTTAAAAAGTGTTTACCCTGATTTTTAAGCCAAAAAAATTATAATAAAAATAATAAAACACTTACAGTGAGTAGAAGTGTTAATATCATTTTTCGCTGTAAACTGATGGGTAGACATTTTTTAAATACACTAATTTCTATGTTCAAGTTGATAACTTTTATGGTACTTCAAAATGGGCAAGTTAATTTCAAAAAATATTTTTTTATGATTTTTTTGGTATTTAGCAAGGGACAATACATCTTTAAAATTCCATAACGAAAATTTATTCAAAACAAATTAAATTTACAATTCCTGTTTTAATGTACATATTTTATTCGCACATTCACAAAATAAAATTGTAGTCTGAAGTTAACTAAGAGCTCAACATTGTATGAACATCGATAAAATATTGAAATGTTAATAAAATAAATTACAACCCCATTAAAATAACCAACAAGACAATATAAACTTTAACATTGGAATAAAATTAATATACCTAGTAAAAGGAAAAGAAATTGTAGGAGTAATATTAACATTACTATTAATACTAATAATACTATCGTAATATTATAGTATTGAAATAAAGAAAAGTATGAAGATTTAAGCTTAAATTTATCGCAACAGATCAAATGCGTTCGTTGAATTTATCTTAAATACGGTATATATCTATCTATGTATCTATCGATGTATCTTTTTATGTATCTATCTATGTATCTATCTATGTATCTATTTATGTATCTCTATATCTACTGTACCTATCCAATCTATCTATATCTACTGTACCTATCTACTGTACCTATCTACTGTATCTATCTATCTATCTATCTATCTATCTATCTATCTATCTATCTATCTATCTATCTATCTATCTATCTATCTATCTATCTATCTATCTATCTATCTATCTATCTATCTATCTATCTATCTATCTATCTATCTATCTATCTTATATTGTATATTGTATAATTGTATATTGTATATTCTAAATTTTTATTTTAGCTGCCTTACTCGGGGAAGGGGAAAATGCAATTGACATTGGAGATGCCGACATTGCAAGTACGTTGATTTAACCTTTTATATTTCGTATTTTAAATGTTCTATTACTGACATTGTCCATATTATAATAATCCATAATAAGCATACTTTTCCTAAATTGAATAATAGTAGAAAAGACAACATTAATAAATGTTAAATTAATAATAATAACAATAATAATGATTAATAATATTAATATAATAATAATAATAATAATAATAATAATAATAATGATGAAGATGATGATGATGATGATAATAATAATAATAAT